TATGTAATTGAAGTTCATATTAAAGTTTTTATTAAAAAATTAAAGTTTAAGCCTAACAATATAATATTATTTTTTTATTAATTAAGGCTTTCATCATCTGTTTCTTATCATTTCGGTACCGTTGCATATTTAAGCATTAATATTCTGATATTAATATCTTAGTATTTATTATTGAATAAATACTGATTTATTTATATTGCTGTTTGAATTCAACCATATACATTCAATATAATACATTTAAGAATATATTTTATTAAATATTGAAATTAATACATTATTCCAGAAAATACTTTTATTATTATTACTCAAAAACTGATTTACATGAAATAAATAAATGTATTTTTTGAATTATAACAAGTATTAAAACATAATTGATGTAATATTAAATTATTGTTAAATATTGTTAAATATTGAAACGATTGAATTACGTCCTGATAAAAATACGAAAATTCATTTATTTACAATTATTTCTTTCAAATTTATGTATAAAAATATCTAAAGTACTTAAGCGCACTTTCTTACTATTTTTATAATAATAAATTAATACAAAATTTAATAAACAGGTTATAATAATTCAATTATAGTAAAAATTCATAATAATCTTGATCACTTTCATAATGTTTTAATGAAATTATAATTTCTAAAAAAATTTTATATTATATAGTTTTTGGTATACAAAAGCATAATAAATTAAAAATAAATTTTTGAAACCTATCTCATGATACGGTTTAATACTATAATAATTATTACAAAAAAAAAAGAGTTTAATGATAAATACTAAATAATTTGATATATTTTTCATGCTAAATTAAAAATTGTGTAATTAAATAATGTTTAAAATGCATAAAATAATTGAAATAATTGGTGATAATCTGAAATATAGGAATATGACCAAAGGTTTATAAGCAGAATTCAGTTTAAAATTCTTTTTTATTTTAAATTCAATTAGAGTGAGTAAAATACTACATTATTAATATAAAATGACTTTCAAATAATGTTTACATTTTGTATTAAAATACAATTTATCAACATCATTTGATGCTATTGTAAATCTGTAGACCAACTAATACTAGCAAGTTGTATATATAAACATTCAAAATTGGTCTAAATTTTATCATTTACAATTTTTATTACATCAAAAGTATTTATTTTTTTTTTTGTCTATACTTCATCAAACGAATAGTGTAATATATCTTCGACCATTTTCACATTAGGCATCTATAAAATATATGTTTAGAATGAAAAAATATTTTATGAAATATTTGATTTTAAACAATTACTATATTTCATTTGAATTTCTATTAAAATTGATTTTCATTTCATTTGACCTTTAATTTAAAAGGTGTAACCTATATTAATGAACATGTTAGCTATTATAAAATATATAAAATATAATTCGTATTATTTTCTATAGAAATATTAAAAAAATAAAAAATATTAAATTTTTGAAATATAGAATTTAGAAATTTTCGCTTTCTAAAAGAAAAAGTGAGATAATTACCATAATTTTTTTTTATTCTATAGTAAATTTATACATTAACTCGAACGATCATATTTTATGTAATTTAATATCAAAGCTAATTGATATTTATTTTAATATAATTGTATGACATAAATTATTATCATTTAGCAGTTTCGTATTGCAATAATTACAATATTTTAAAAGAAAGGTAATTATTGTGATATGTAAAATTATCATATTATTACAATATAGATGCGTTACTTTATTTTAAATTATATAACTATTTATATCTTTTTGAACTTGTAGAAAACATTAAATTATAGTAAAAAATTCATTGGGTTATTTTTAATAAGAGAAATGGAAATTTATTTTATATTAAAATAATAAATTTGCATTTTCTGCAATAGTTCAAGTAATCTGAAGTAAATAAAAAAAATTAACATATTTCATCTATTAAAAATAAATAGTTATAGTATTTCCGAGATTAAAGAGTTTTAAAATAAATTCAGCAGTGATAAAATTTACTTATTACACACATATATATATATATATATATATATTATAAAATATAATTGACAATTCTACGTTATATTTAATTCTATAATATTATTTAATTTTATAAAATATGTTATAAAATATAAACTAATATATTTAAATTAATTTTGATAAATACTTATTTTTAAAATCTGATGATACATTATATTTTATTTTGAATATTTATTCTTTCTTTTAAAAATAAAAACGAAAATAATTTAAAAAATTTTTAATATGGTATTCATTTTTGTAAATTTTATATCTCTATGAATTAAAATTTATACTTAAAGTAAAAAATGTTTGGGAGATTGATCCTCTTATAAATATATTTTTAAGAACTTTTTTACAAATAATCCCTACAAAAATAATTCAGACTAATTATTTTCTAAGATCTTTGAAAAAATAAATATAATAAATCCACTTAAGTAGTAATAGATATAGAATGTTGGTGTAACCCGAATATGTAATTTTGTATAATCAATTTTAATTTTTCCAAATACAAAATACAATAAGCTTATAATTTGAATGTAATTACCTTTAACTAAAGTAAATGCCTTCTGTTTTTTAATTATACTAACCACTTACAAAACTAACAGCTATTATTTTTGAAGAATAATCAATGAAAAGTTATCACAAAAAGACGGTTAAACATAGTAACACATGAATTCAAACACCACTCTTTGACTTTTTGACCTGACCCGCAAGACGTTCATACGCTACAGCAAAAGTCTGGAGTGCAGACGATATTCTTAACTTAAGGTGAAAGTAAATGTAAATCGCTGAAGAAAAGCTCGGCGATAAAATTTTTTTCTTGCAGAGACTCTTTACACTCTAACTTCCATTTTAGAATCTTTATCTTCCTACTTTCAGAAAAAAAAACTGGCAGAAGGGGAAGTAAGAGTGCAGTGTAGTAGAAAAAAGGAATATAAAATTTCTTCAAAATCATACTATGAGTAACATTATACTATAGTTTAAAGATGATCGAATTTAAGAAAACAAGAACATGAATAATAACGAATTTCTTTTTTTATACAAATTATACAATTGTTAAACGAACGTAGGATATGCTTATTAACTCATTACCTCACATGTTTCCGTAATATGTATAATATATATATATGTATAATTTATATATGTATATATTATATTATGAATTTATTTTACTAGTGAATTTGAAAATAAATGCATATAAATGCTTATATGTAAATACTGTATTTATGATTTATCTTTATAATTCTTTTGTTTTAAAAACTGCGATCCATTTCTTCACTTTAATAAATTTATTTTATATCTACGACAATGAATATTTGATCTTATTTTATAATAAAATATATGCAGTTATTTCCAAATACACTAATAAATTAAATTCATAATCCTAAATGTAAACCACAAATTTGGATACGGGAGATTTAAATAAGAGATAGTCAATGGAGTTATTAAAATTCTTAAAATATCTGATATAATCAATGATGTTTCAGTTTCAGATAAAAAAATTCTGAAGTTATATTTTAAATCCAATATTAAAAAAGTTTTATATTTAAAGCATATACACTTTAGTTTTTGGTATATAATCAAAACTTAATGTTCTTTGTAAAATATTTATAAGTCAAATTTCATAAAACGTGTTCCGCATAAGTTTTTTACGAACCTCAAATTCCATTGGAAAAAGTTATAAAAGAATAATGAATTAAAAATGTTACAAATTTTTCTAGTTTTTTTATTTTTATTTTTAATGTAATATAATTAATATTCTCTTAAATAACATAATTTTTAAAGTTTCATATTCATATATGAAATCTCAGTTCTTCATTTAACACAATATTAAAATTATAAATTATTTTTCTAAAAATATTTGATAATCTTTGTAATTATTATCAATTATTGTAACAGAATATTTTAATTATTTTTTTATTATTATATAAAGTACTTTATAACTATATTTAATATGAAAAGATTATGTAAACATTATATTCAAAATGAAATATGAAATAATCGTCTATCTATCAAAGTTACATGTGAAAGTTGAACGATCTTAGAATGTAAAGAAAAAACACAAACAGTATAGCAAAACTAAGAATTGTGACTTCTATTTTGCTTTATACAAAATTGCATTTGGACAAATTAATGAAATTTAACTTCTTAGTATTAAAACTAAGTAATTGAGATTGAATTTTACGAATATAATATTTTTTTTAATAACATTCCCGATGTGAATCGCTATATACACATTATGTAATATTTTCAAAAAGTCAAAAGTGAAAAGGTGAACTTTTTGTTCTGTTTTTCTTGGTAGTATCAAGCGCAGTACCAAGTTTTATTTCAAGGACGGGAAACAACTCTAAGTAGAGGAAGAGAGAGAGAGAGAGAGAGAGAGAGAGAGAAAAGGCTGCTGCTTGGCTTCAAGATTTTTCGTAGTTCTGGGCGCTTGAAGAGTTCTTTTCTTGGTTCAGATTAAAAGAAATATATATAGAAATAGGCAATGAATGAACATTTCTACATATTTCAAGTGATTTTTTTCTACTTATTCAGAGTGGCGTATTTAAAAAGTACCGAAAAAACCTTATTAGTTCTATACTGGTATACTTATATAAGAAAATCATTATTTAAATAAATTTTAATATATTAAACTATCTGATATCTAATATAAAAACTATTCGTAAACAGTGTTGATAAATACTTTTAAACAATTTATGTATTAACAAAATTAAGTTTTATTATTAACAATTATATTATATTCATAGTTTTCAAATTTTTTGGAAAGATGTAAAGTAATGTTTTCAAATTTAAATAAATTTGAATTATATATATCAATAAACTTGATTTTTTTCAATTAAATAAATTGAGTACATTCTAATTCTAGTTATTAAAAAGAATATCATATTTTAATGATCTGAATTATTCTTTTCATTTTCATGTGATTTTTGAATTTAATAAAATTTCAATTGCACATATTTATTAAAAATATTTTTTAAAAAAGGCAAAATACATTGCAAGAAAAACGCACCTTTAGTCTTCCAGACTCTAGTTTTATTAGGCAGTAATCTGTCCTTCCAGCAGCTAATAGTAACATCGCGTCAGCAAGATGAGTGCGAAATCGAAAACTGATGTCAGTTGCACTTTTCGCCTCCTGGATCGAAAGATGAATGTAACTGGCTCCATAAAATGAAACTGCAAAATAATAATGATCGTACTATTATTATATTATATTAAATTGTTTTCTAACATGATTTAAATTTATATTTAAATATAATTTCGGATTAATAGTAATTCTACCACAAACTTAGAGACCCGTAAAGTATTAAAAAATATCTTTGTTTATAGAACAAAGATATAAAAAATAGATGTGAGTAAAACAAAATGTTATAGGTATAATTGATATATTTATATATAATAATTTAAATATTCGATTATTTGACAAATATAATAAAAATTCGAATTTTTTGGGGACCCATTAATATACATGGAAAAATATTACATCTCTTAATTAATTAGAAATTTGTGTACGATAAAATATTTAAAAGAATATTCAACTTTCCCTTTAATTGATAAATATTTTTAGTAAGCAATAGATGAATATGAACATTATATTGCCACCATAAGTAAAACATACTAAAATGAATATTGTATTTATAATAATAATTTACATAACAATTTAATATATAATAAGTACTTATTTTTAGTTCTATAGAACTAGTCAATTTCCTATAATATTAAGTTTTCGTTGAATTTTTCAAGTAACAATTTTTTAGGGTGTAATATCATTCATTTTATATCTACATTTTTTAAATTATTTCTATGTCGGAATATGATAAACCTTTGCATAAATTGTTATTTTAAAAAATTTTTTTAGACGGTAAAATGTCGGAAATAGAAATTTACTCGATCAATTTAAAAATAAATAAAGTATTTCACATTTATCAATATAAAAAAGTTACATTCTGACTTTTTAAATTGAATTATTTAAACACAATTCGATGATTTTTCTTTTATATATATTAATGAAAGTTTATTAATATTATATATATATTAATTTTATAGTTTTATATAAATAATAAATGGATAAAAATATTATTTTTAAGAAGGAGAACAATGTGCGTGTATATCTTCTTTATAATTAACTATAAATAAAATATTTTTTATCGAAAACGGTTGGCTAATTTTACTAAATGTAGTATATTTATTGTAATTATTTAAAAACTTTCGTAAGAATAATGGTAAAGTATTCTATAAAATTTCAATTTAAATGTTATCTTAGAAAATAGATTAACAAGAATTTAATGAACGATCGAAATATAACCAGGTCTGCATTATTAGATAACAATTAAATTTAATAGATTTGCTGATAAATTAAATTAAATACTAAATATTCATTTTTATCAAGCAAATATTGAGAAAAATGATTTATTTTAATCAAATTCAGCTTACACCCACATACGATTTGAAATTAATCTTATATCGCGTTAATAAATGTGTCCATTAGGAAGAAAGTCGACGGCCGTAGATGATTCATCGTAAAATTTCATAAAGTCATTTATCTACCGTGTGAAAAGAGAAGGATGATAAGATCGAGCAAAAAATTTTATAATATACAATTTTTTATTATTACAATATGTTTACACTTTTTTTCTGTTCTTGTCCAATAATATACAGAAAAAAATGAATATGGTCCTTTATTTCATTGTATATTCATATTGTAGATTTATTTTAAAAAAAATTGTACATAAATAAATAATACCTAAATAAATGTTTAAAACTTGTTTTTGGAGTTTAATATTTATTAAATATTTATATTATTTGTTAGTCATTCTATTTTTAAAGCATGAGAATACTAATATTAAAAAATGTTTTGAATATTACATGGGAAACAGTTTAACATATAAACAAGGACTTAATAATTGAGTTTATTGTTTTCTATTAATTTTATTTACTCAAGAAAAGGATTTATCTATAATATGTACTTCCTGTAAGTATTACTTTAAATTTCTTTTAAAAAAAAACGTTAAAAAATTGAAGTAAATCTAATATTTCTTAAATTATCAATATAATTTATAAAAATAAATAAATAAGCATCAATAATATTAAACAATATCAATAATATTAATAGTGTTTTAATTAATTTTAATTTCGATAGCGAAAATTAAAACTCCATTAAAAATAACATTTTAATTATTCTAATAATCCCATTATAAATTTTATGTAAGTTATTATCACAAATTAATTGACTGAAACTTATCATCAAGAAAAAATAATAAATAATATTTAATATATTACAATCAAAATAAAAACTTTTTTTTTAAATAAAATTTAATTGTTCAAGTAAATAATAAGAATATTCTATTTTGAATGAAATAATTGGTTAAATTTATAATTTAAAACAATTATATAGAATGTTGCCTTAAATTTATTTAAATATGTGATAAAACCTTCTTTTCCTTCTTTAATAATAAAATATTCACTGTGAACTATATAAAAATCTTGAAATAACTATTTTTTTTTTAATTTAATTTAAAATAGTTTCTCTTTAGTTAGTTTCATTTAGAAGTTACAAAAATTGTATTCATTATAAATATATAGTTATTAGTTTTTTATCTGACTATATCACTATTTTGAGATATATGATTAATTAATTTCACATATCTTGTATTAATTAATTTCAATTTTACTCGTGACACAACACACACGTTATAATTTAATCGCGCTTCCAATTAAATCAATTTGTATCGCTTTGTTTAATAGATTATTTTATCTTTGGGTTCTTTCATTTTGTAGTATCATCACTAAATATGGATTTATACATGAATGACAGGTAAAATACCCTAGTAAAAGGATTCGTACATGAAAGCAAATCTCAGAAATCTGATATTTTTTATGGATTATATTTGTATGATGATTATTCATAAAGAAAATTGAATTTGTTCAAATGGATGGAGAATTGAAAAATATCCAGTCAATATTAGTGAAATGTATCTATCACAAATTTATATTCACACAAACATATACTATTCCTTTTGTAAAATCAATTATTTTAAACAAATAAGAACAAAACTTGAAGAAATAATTTATAAAATTAAAAAATCGAACCCCAACTTACGGAAACTCACCTATAAGAAAATACATTCTGTAAATTTACATATTGAATTGTTATCTCGATTCTTTTAACTTCAATACTTTTTTAATTTGTTCCGAATTATTTAAAAAATATTTTAAAAACATTTATATAAATTTCTGTGAGCTATTATAAATTTTTGGATAAAATAATTAACATTTATCATAAGTTAATATTTATGTTATGATCATATTTGTTAATTCCATTAATAAATAACACTTATAAATAAATAATTAATCTATTGAAGAATTTGTTGAACCAATCATTGCGTATAATATTCAAATACATTACAAATAATTATTACATATTACTGGCATATATCAAAATACAAGTTTATTAATAATGATTGTTGTGTCACTTTATTAATTAATATTACTGTATAAGTAATTTTAAATAGTCTTAAAATGCGGAGAAGCTATTATTGTCTTAAATTATATTTTATAAAGAACTATTGTTCTACTATATAAATACTATTATATAAATACTAGTATATAAATAAAGTAGTTATTCAATAATCTAATTTCAAATTCAATTCCATTTGTCGGAAATTGAAAATTCAACTACATCGTAAGATCGTCTTATATTCCAATGTACTTTTATTTTTTAGCTTTAATTTTGTCATAGTAAGTTACGAATAATTAAAATTTAGACATATGTTTGTCATCGATTTATATTACATACACATAGTACACACATATAGTATGCATACATATAATACATACATATGGATTTGTAAGAGTACTTTAATATTAAATCAAATTTATAATTATTTAGCTTGTTTAAATAAAACATACAAATAGATAAAATATAAATATAATGAATTATAAAAATATTATATAAGGTAAAATAACTTAAGTATTACGTGAAAATAAATTATATTTCAAATATCAATTATGATTTCATTATTTGTAATTTTATAAATAAAATTTTACGTTTGTATATATAATTTTGTGTACTTACAGAAGCATAGTTTTATATACATATATCATAAAAGTTTTTTTTTAATGCCAACATTAAAAATTTTTATATTATTTATGGTCTGATAAATAAAAAATATTACAGTTTTCAAATTTGAGTATTATTGCAATTGATTTATGAACATTTTAAATTATTATTATTATTGCTATTTTATAATTTACTCTTTATTGTACTTGCGTTTTATTAAGTATGTTAAGTTCTATAAATAAGTATCAGTTTTCAAAGGGTTTTTAAAAATTCTTACCATTCTTATTATGATTAATCAGTATTAATATAGTTAATAGTAATTTAAAATGTATATACTACAAAATATAATTAATTAAAATTAAATGTGACTTTTATGAATAAAAAACTTTGTAGTTTTAATATAAAGTTGTTAATATAAAAATAAGGCTACACAACTTCTTCATTATCCCTGGAACAAGAGTATAAAAAAGGGCGCAAAACAAAATTCAACGACGTACTTAAAAAGATTATAACATATAAAATTTTTATAAACATTAATGTATTAAAATAGTCGTTTCCTTAAAATTTCATAAAATGTAGCCAAAAGTGTTCTATACATACATACACATGTACGTCTATATATCAGCAGTTTCGGAAATTGTGTATTTAGTATATTTATTCCAAAATATTTAAAGTATTTAAATAAATATAAATATAATATACATCCCTTATCAAATTTCTGAATAATAATATATAAAATAATAAGATCTATAAAATTATTTCACGTTTGCAAATATTGCCAACACATCCAAGTACGTAATAAAAATCAAATAAAAGAGTATATATAATTACGGTACTTTTAAATTTAAATGAATAAAGATATGGTTCCGACTATTTTACTATGTCCCATTCTATTGTCTATCCATGTAACTCTTAAATTAACATCATCAAGCAGAAAATGATGAGCTACAAACCTAAAACATTTCCCAGTAAGAAAAGGTATCGCATAAAGTGTTAATTACAAATATATTTAATTTGTGTTATAAATGTGCTAGAAACTATTAATATCATATTCAGTAGGACTCTTAAAACGCGTTACAGCGTTTTTCTTGCCGCCCAGTTTATTTCCATTCTGTAA